TCCGCAATACCGGCGTAGACAGACTGATCCTGTCCGAACTGCTAAAAATGGCCTCCTCGATTCACGACACGTGGTCCCTTACAGTGCCTACCTCCTGGAGGTCATGCAATGCCACATAAGCGTGGAGGTTTGCACATCCGTCAAGGCAGTGAAACACCTTTACAAATACACATACAAGGGACCAGACCGCGCATGCTTACAGAAGGTCCATGATGAAGTGTCCGACTATTTGGACTCACAGTATGTCGGGGCGCCGGAAGCGGCGTAGCGCTTGATGGGTTTTGAACTGCATGGACAGTCCCACGCAGTTGAGCGCCTCCCTGTGCACCTGCCGCTGCACCAATCGGTTCAGTTCACAGCTGGTCAAGAGCAAGCCTCCGTAAACCGCGCCATCGTGGCACAAACGAAACTTCAAGCCTGGTTGTCCTTGAATGCATCGGCGCCTTCACTGAAACCCGACGTCGCCAATCTCATCCGCAACTTACGATACCCCGAGGTCCCGAACCGTTTCACCTGGGATTCCAAACATCATCGTTGGCTGCCGCGCAAGCATCGGCCTCGCAACGGCACTGTCATTGGCCGGATCTCTCATGTGAAGCCTGGGTCCGGCGAGCTGTACTACCTACGCCTCCTGCTCCTGCACGTCACCGGAAAAGACGCTGTCAGCTGGGACTGTCTGCGATCACCTACCCATTCAGACGCCGAGCCCACATTTCAGAACCGAGCGCGTGAACTCGGGTTGCTGCATGATGATGCTGGAACGCTCAACATGTTGCGCGAGGCTGCCACAGTCCTCCGAAGCACGAAACGCTTGACAGATATTATTGCAGAGTCTCTTGTGTGGCTCGGCGTGCATGATCCACCCCGTATCTGGCAACAATTCCTCCAGTTACTATCTGAGCACCACCATGTGACACCACATTTGGCGTGCGAGCTTTACCGATACCCACAGGAAGCCCTGGCTAGATACGGCGCATCAATGGTCGACCTTGGCGTGCCGCCTCCCAGCCCAACAGCCGACCTCACACCACAGGAGCGAAACGATAACGAGTACAATGCCGAACTGCGGAATCCAGAACAAATGAACTGGGAAAAAGCCGCCCATGACAAGTTAGAGCTCAATGCTGATCAGCAGGCTGTGTTCGATGCTGTTCTTCGCGTGGTCGACGGCGTTGCCCCGACCACGGAGCCCACCGTTCACTACGTAGACGGGCAAAACACATCTGCACCGAAAAGTTCTGCATTGCGTACGCATGAGCGGGCGGATTGCTCTTGCCGTGGCCATGTCCAGAATCGCTTCCCTGCTGTTGCTTGGAGGGCGTACTGCGCATTCACGGTTCAAACTGCCTGTTCCTGTGCCGCTCGATGGTTGTAAAAGCAATGTCAAAGGTCAATCTGTCGCTGCCCGCCTCATCCGCGATGTTGCCGTCATTGTGTGGGACGAGGCGCCCACTGCATCGCGTAGTATGTTCGAGGCCGTCGATCAATGCTGTCGTCAATTGATGTGTTGCGACCGCCCTTTCGGGGGCAAGCCAGTCCTGCTCGGAGGCGATTTCAGACAAATTCCACCTGTGTTGCGATACATCGATCGCGAGCAAGTGGCCGCTCACACAATCGCTGCATTATCTTGGTGGCAAGACGGGTCTGTCGCCCGACACAAACTCACTCAGAACATGCGAGCACGTCTAGATGCTGACTACGCTTCCTTCTGCCTAAGCGTCGGCGACGGACAGTTGCCCCGACCTGGTTGCGCCATTAACGGATCAGAGATGCAACCAGCTGTTGTGGAGGTCCCGTCGCACCTGTCCTTGGGCCCGGACGCCACCAGCGCAGATCTCTTGAAGTGGGTTTACGACGGGTTTGAGACGGTACAGCCTGCGCAGTGGGCAAGTTTCTACTCTGACCGAGCTGTCGTGACACCAACCAACGAGGCAGCTGATCCGCGTTTCTCCACGCGTTGCAACCTGGAGGCATGCCCCCCCGCGACCTGCGCGTCCGCAATGGGTCCTTAGTCATTCTATCCAGCTGCCTGCGGCAAGTCCCGCCACCGTGCCAGCCCAACATGTTGGGTGGCTCTCGTTCGAGGGGGCACGGGAGGCCGCACTCGCGAGGGATGAACAACATGATAACGATGATGATGATGATGATGACGACGACGACGATGATGATGATGTTGTTGATGAGGATGAGGATGATGATGAGGATAATGATGATGATGATGAGGATGATGATGGTGTTGACGATGATTATGATGATGGTGATGATGATGGTGATTATGATGATGATGACGATGATGATGATGATGATGATGGTGATGATGATGATGGTGGTGGTGGTGATGATGGTGGTAATGATGATGATGATGATGATGATGATGATGATGATGATGATGATGATGATGATGATGATGATGATGATGACGATGATATCGTGAGAGGCCTCTCGGGAGCCTGTTTGACTCAGTTTTGAGGCCTCTCGGGGGCCGTCTGGGGGCCTCTTGGGGGCCTCTTGGGGGCCTGTTGGGGGTCCTTGGAGGCCTCTTGGGGCCTCCTGGGGGCCTCTTCGGGCGGAAGGCTCGAATTTTGTTCGTATTCCCCCTCTTGGGCCCCTTCTGGGGCCGTCTTGGGGCTCTCTTGGGCTGTCTTGGGCGCCTCTTGGGCCGTTTTGAGGCCCTTTTGGGCCGTCTTGGGACCCTCTGGGGGGCCTCTTGGGCCGTCTTGGGGCGGTTTTTGGGGCCCCGGGGGCCGTCTTGGAGCGTCGGAAGCTCGAAAAGGCGACAACGTGAAAAATATTGAAAAACACAATGAAAACCAATGATGTTTGCATTTTTAAGCCCTCTTGGGGGTCCTCTTGGAGCGCTCTTGGGGCTTCTTTGGGGCCTTTTGGGCCTTCTTGGAGGCATCTTGGCCCATCTTGGCGGCTTTGGTGGCCTCCCAGGTCCGTCTTGGCAGCCATCTTGGGCATCTGGGGCAAATTGGAGAGCGCCAGGGGCGTGTGTGGGAGCCGACAGAGTCCCAGGAAGAGGGGCAGATTCATGCGGGTGGATGCGACGAGGAGGGGGGGGGGTCCCTTAGAAGATTACAGAAACCCTACCAGACAGCACCTGGCATTCTAGCACGCCTCAACGTGCCAGGAGGCACGGTGGCGGATTGCGGAACTACGCACCGCACAAAGGCTTATGTAATGGCACCCGGCTCGTCGTAGAAAAGCTAATGCAATATTGCATGCTTGTCCGCATTGTCACTGGCCCGCTCCGTGGGGAATTAGAACTGATACCGCGCATTTGTTGCGACAGCAGTGGCGACACCGATCTGCCATTCGTGCTCCGGCGTCTCCAATTTCCTGTGCGACTCGCTTGGGCCATAACAATCTATAAAAGCCAAGGTCAGTCTTTGCCTGGCAGGCTGGGCATATACCTTCCCATTCCTGTCTTTTCACACGGCCAACTGTACGTTGCCTTCTCGCGCGGGGTCGCATCGCAGAATGTCAGGGTGTTGGTTGAAGACAATGGAGATGACAAGCAACGACAACTGAGCGACCACAAGAAACTGCCGCAACAATACACGCTCAACATTGTCGACAAAAGACTGCTGGCCCATTCCATGCCCCAACATAGTACACAAGAAACGGTTCCTGCAACACCACATGAACCCCCACTGCACTCGATGCCCCCTCCATCGCGGCCGCCATGGACAGATCCGGCAGCTCTTGATGCCAGCGAGACCTGCCTCATGGACTGTGACAACGACGCATACGTGATCGAGGACCCACCGCCAGACGCCACAGATTTTCACCAGCAAGAGCATGCGCTGCGAATGAGTTTGTTTGATCGCTCACATCATTTCGACGAGTGGCTTGGCTCTGTGAGCTCGCATGCCGCCAGTGATATAATCAGACCCGCTCACGACGCACGGTCGATTCGCAGTTCGGTTTTTCATGTGCCCGTAACTATCCAAAGCCCTCTTCCCACACATATTTCCAACCTTGCCGCGCACCAGAATGAACCTCGTCATCCTCCAGCCTTCGGCAATGGCATTCCGGGCCGTCCACCACATGCCGCAGATGCCAGCATCGCCTCTAACCACCCGACGCCCCCTCCACCAACTGCGCATGGCATTCACCGGCGACGTTCATGTAAGAAATGCCGGTTCTTTCTACAATCGCCACGTTGTCCCAAACTTTGCCCATGTGAGGGCGCCAGCATGCCCGCGACAAGTTGTGGAGACATCACGCGCTCACCCAAGTGTCTTGACGCAAGTAATCGCGACGACGTCGCCGAGCACCCACCGAAAGTGCCACGAATGATAGGCCTTCCTGTTCCTGGCGTGGACATGGCCCCCGTTGTAACATCCAGGCCATTGCCATTGTCCGACATGTCCGCCGCCACCCCGCCTGCAGCTCCAAGTGGCACTGACAGAAACCAACGACGTAGACCACGTCGGTTCCTCCGAAGATCGCAATGTTATTCGAATGCCTGCCAGCGTGCTTTCCCCAGCATGCTTCCTGGCATCGACCACAAACCTGCACACTGCCAGCTCTCCGCTGCGTCATCCGCAGACCCTGTCACGCCACAAGGCGCTCTCGATGCAACATCGTTTCATGCCTACGTATCCTCCCCCACTGATGCATACAGCCTTGTCGCAGACCAAAGCCAAGATTCTCATCCTCCAGCCCTCCGCAATGGCATTTCCGGACATCCGCCACATGCCTCAGACGTCGCCTCAACCACAGCGCTCTCGAGGCTTGCCGTTCCAAGCAGGACCCATGCACGCTGGAACGGAGCCTCCCACCCTGTCATGCCTTGTCCTTCTGACCTCCTGCCTGTGTCAACGTCTTTCGCATGGTTCAATTCACCAGCCACGCGGGCCACGAATGCACGCGGTATCCAAACGGATGCCACTTGCGGCCTCCACGCGTTCAATCACGCCATGGTACCATTCCATTTTGCTCAACACCTGCTGCCTACCATCACCAACCGCGAAGACTTTGAAGGCATCGCCATGGCCCACAATTTCGGAGATGCGCCGCAGAATCTCATTGAACCCGCCAGCGGGAACTACAACGTAGCTGTTTTGATGGCTAATTTTACGAGAGCCGGTGCTGCTGCGATCCCCATGGATCCAGCCGATATCCAAGCCCGGCTAGGCGACGTATTTTCCGATCACGCGACTGACGAAGGAATGTTTCGGACAGTTGCTTATGTTATTCGTACTCCATGTGGCGGCGGGCATTGGTTGTGCATGCTCAACGGCTCCATGATTCCTGGAAGTTCATCGGAGGAGGCCCCCGCGATGCTGTGCGATTCTCTGTACTCCGCCCCGCACCTCTTGACATTCATGCAGGTTGAGGACCTTGTCACTCTCTGTGCGTTCGAGCACGCCCAAAGAGCATCAATCGCAGATTCTGTAGGCTTGCGCCACATCTGCCGTAACCTGTGTTAACGTGCCTGGGGCCTTCAGAGTCATATGTCGCTCAGTCTGGGATTGCCCGGAGGCCCAGATGGGTGCCACATTCGGTTCTTCAGGAGGTTTGCAATGTCCCTGCGAGGCCCCCGGCATGGTCCCTCAACCACGCCCGCTCGACATCCCGTCCTGGAGTGGCCCGTTTTGAAAGAATCTTCGGTCCTTTTGGGATTCCCGTGACATTTCGAACCCCTGCAAAGGAAAACCTTCGCAAAACAACATCCGCGAATTCAGGATCAATTCGTTTCCGGCAAAATTGTTGGTGGTCTTCGTCGAGCTCCAGGGCCGGAGTCGGGAGCACATTGGATTGTTCGACAATCATGTCAGTGCCATCGCAAGCCCTATTGTGCGCTCATGCAGCAACTGTAGAACATTTGCAAGCCATCTTCGGCCTCTGTGGGCGCCTGTGCAACGGGGAGGGGATGGGCTGCTCTCGTGGGGCGTTATGTTCTTCGTGGCAAAGAACTTCACGCAAACTTCACGCACCCAGGAACCTCGAAGAGTTCGGCGGAGTTTTGTCCGTGGCACTGCTTTCTGATCGGACTCCGCGTCGAAAACTAGGGCGATCTGTTAATGTCCTAGGCGTGCTAGGCGTGGCAGCAGAATCCCGAGCCCGCTCCGCCTGGGGAGAGTGAGCCTCGCGTTTGTGTAAGAAGACACCCGAAGGCTTCGCAGAATCGGTGCCCAATGTAGCGCTGCACCACCAGCCGCATCGGAACATACTTTTTATAGTGCTTTCCAGCATTGCACACATCTTCAACCGTTCCATGCGCCAGCCACGTACATGCTGACGCGGGTCGCATTTTGATCGTAGTTTCCACGCCTGCTAGATATTTTATGCTCCCTTCATTCGAAGCGCGTCTGCTTTTCGGCGGCGTCACCGCCAGCCTGAACGGCATCTGCTGTCTGGTTTCACCCGTGCTGTGCATTGCTGTGCTTGCGATTTCTTCGGTTGGCGACTCTTGGAGCGCATTGAAAATTTATCGTCGTGATCGTTTGGAAAAGCCGACCCGCCAGAAAAAATAAAGCATTTTGCAGCAACTGCGATCGACAACCAGTGCCACTCTGTGGTGATTACCTGGAAACGTTCCGTATTTTGAGAGCTCGTGGTTATAACAGACCGTGCCACCTTATTTGAATGGCATGGAAATCCGGAGCACGTGCGGCACATATCTGTTACCACCAAAACCAAACGGTGGGTGCTGCACCAGGCGTCCCACATGGGGTCCCACGTTGCGTGACGTCGCCTTTGCAGCGCGATGCAACACACTGGCAGCACATCGCACTATTCAGTATTGGTCCCTGATGCCCCCCCGCAAGATGTTGAAACCCCAACCTGAACTACGAACCCGGATACCGCCACACACGCCAGGGCATGCGGTGACAGCCACTGTGGCATATTCCGTGATACTTGACATTTTCGTTGCGTGACGCCGCCCTTGCAGCGCGATGCAACACACTGGCAGCAATTAGCCCAGACAGCCGCAACAAAATGTGGCTCTTTCCTGAGCTTACCCCCCGCTTGGCGGGAGGCGAGGATAATTTGTTAACACCCCCCCGGTCGAAACCCAAACCTAGCCGCAACAAGTTGTAGCTCGTTGCGTGGGCTTGCCAACGGGAATGCAGGACATTTCCCGAGGGCCCTGGGGGGGGGCATCTTTGATATTATCATGTTTCTGCCAATGGCCGGTAATGAGGCTGAGGATTCAAGCGGGGTGAGGCAGGTAGCAGGAACATTTTAAGAGGACGCGTAAGAGGGCAGGGGGATGGATGGTGGGTGGGGAAGGGAAGAAGAGAGGAGGCCCACACCAGAGGGACGTGGGAGAGATTGGGAAGGGGAACGTTCAGACGGGGAGGGAGGGGACGGGGGGGGACATCGGAGGATGCTGGCAACGGCCCGCCATGGGATGGAATGTGGAGGGACCAGAATGGAAACATACTCAGAGCGCGGGAAAGGCCCCTCACAGGGGCAAACATTTGATTTCCCTGTCCGTGGCCTACAAAACCTATCATACATAGAGCGGTTGTAGGGCGAAGAGTCTCATACTCCGCACCCTCCTCATTCCGAAGATGGCCTGGCATCCCACAAAATGGTTGCACTGGGATGGATATCGGGGGCACGCAGTAGGACTTCCAACCCACGGGGGAGGTGTCCACAGCGAGCTTGTGCAGCGCTGCTGGGCTGGCTGGCTGGATGGGTGTCTTGGATATATACACAAATATGTATTGTAGTTCAGTTCGCTGAGTTTGGGAAGCCGTCCAATAACAGGGCAAGGAATGGGTGGGATCTGCTGGCGTAGCAACTAGGGTGGGAAGGGGGAGCGAATGGGAATGGCCAAAAGACGAACGGGAGCGAGCGGAGAGCCTGGGGTCAGGTGGAGCGGGATGCGGGTAGGCAGATGCGAGTGATAGAATCGCTGGGAGTAATGTAGAATGCGGCCGGGAGGAGGAGGAGGAGGAGGAGGAGGAGGGAGCAGGGAGGGGGGGGGAACGGGCGGGAGTGGGGAGCGCAATCAGGACAAGAAGGAGGACGAGGAGGATGAAGAGGAGGAGGAAACCGAAATCAGGGGAGACGTACATTCTTCATCCCGGCACGGATGATTGTCCAAAAACCTATCAAGGATTTCAATGCCCGCGGAACGATCGCAAATAGGGGTAAGGAAATTCGAAGCTGAAACGGACACCGATGTATGAAACAGCCGAGGCCTCATGACAAGGGGTAAGGGGAGAACCCTAAAGTTGGCGGTAGGAAGTTGACTCGTAAAGGATGCATGCAATCGCGAGATGTACTGTGTGTATACTGAAGGGATCAAGCAATGCGCTTGCACTCGAATCGCCCTTGCATTCCTCATTGCCACATTGGCCATTTGCGGTGCGCGTACTTTGGGCGCGGCTAGAACCCAAGCGCGCGCGAAGAGCGCGCGTGGTTCTAGTATGTGTATATATATATATATATATATACCGGGCTACAGGGCCAGGGGCTCCCTGGCCTGGACCGCAACCCCCCATGGCGGGATCGGGCCTCCGGGAGCGCCCTTGTCCTGCCCAAGAGGCGCCGAAGACGGTTCAAGCGTACCTCGAGACGCTTACAATCGATCCAAGACGCCCAAGATGGCTCCCAGACGGCCCAAGAGGCCTCCAAGATGTCCCAAGAGAGCCCCGAGAGCATTCCCAAGAGGTCTGCAACAGGCCGAAATCATTGAATTCCGTTGGTTTTTTGCAGGTTTTTGGTTTTCTTGTTTTTTCGTCGTCCCGACCCTCCAAGACAGCCCACGAAGCCCCCAAGACCGTCCCAAGATCGCCCAAGAGGCCCCCAAGAGCGCCCCAAGACGGTCCAAGAGGGCGTAAAAATAACCCGATAGGCGCCTAAGACCGCCCAAGAGCTTGCAAACACGGCCCAAGAGGCGTCGAAGACAGTCAAAGCGCGCCACGACGCGCCTAAGACCGCTCCAAGACGCCCAAGATGGCTCCCCGATGGCCCAAGAGGCCTCCAAGACGTCCCAAGAGAGCCCCAAGAGCATTCCCAAGAGGGCTGCAAGAGGCCGAAATCATTGAGTTCCGCTGGTTTTTTGTAGGTTGTTGGTTTTCTTGTTTTTTCATCGTCCCGACCCTCCAAGACAGCCTACGAAGTTCTCAAGACCGTCCCACGATCGCCCAAGAGGCCCCCAAGAGCGCCCCAAGACGGCCCAAGAGGGCCCAAAAACAACCCAATAGGCGCCTAAGACCGCCCAAGAGCTTGCAAACACGGCCCAAGAGGCGTCGAAGACGGTCAAAGCGTGCCTCGACGCGCCTAAGACCGCTCCAAGACGCCCAAAATGGCTCCCAGATGGCCCCAGAGGCCTCCAAGACATCCCAAGAGAGCCCCAAGAGCATTCCCAAGAGGGCTGCAAGAGGCCGAAATCATTGAATTCCGCTGGTTTTTTGCAGGTGTTTGGTTTTCTTGTTTTTTCATCGTCCCGACCCTCCAAGACAGACCACGAAGTTCTCAAGACCGTCCCAAGATCGCCCAAGAGGCCCCCAAGAGCGCCCCAAGACGGCCCAAGAGGGCCTAAGAACAACCCAATAGGCGCCTAAGACCGCCCAAGAGCTTGCGAACACGGCCCGAGAGGCGTCGAAGACGGTCAAAGCGTGCACACGAACAGTTGCCCCGACCCCTTATGGGGGGACGGGGCGGCCGGGGAGGCCCAAAATAATCCAGGAGGGCCTCCAGAGGCTCCCCAGACGGCCCAAGCCGGCCCCGAGTCGCCGAAAGACCGTTCCTGGACGCTCAAAATAGGCCCAAGACGGCCCGAGAAACCCCCCCAAGGCACTCCACGACGCTTCAAGACGCCTCTCCCGAGCGCTTGAAGACACCAGAATTGTAAATTTAACCAGGGTTTTGGAGAGATTTCGGCCTTCCAGCCTTTTCGGCTGCCCGGCGGTCCAGGCCGGCTCCATAGGCCCCCAAGAGCGCCCCAAGACGGCCCAAGAGGGCCCCCAGACGGCCCCAGAGGCGCCCCAGAGAGCCCCAAAACGGCCCCAAGATGCGCCCAAGAGGGGGACCACGACTCCAAAATTCGACCCTCCCGCTTGAAGAGTGCCCCAGGAGGCCCCAAGGAGCCCCCCAGGAGGCCCCCGAGAGGCACCCAGGAGACCCAAACAAGGCTTCAAGAGGCCACAAAACAGCCCCGAGGAGATCCCACAACGGTCTCAACATGGCTACCGAGAAGCTGCGAAACTGCTTTCACGACGTCCCCGACAGGCCAACCACGAGATCCAAACTTACACCCATGAGGCCTCTGACCCACCACCTAAGGCACCCGCCGCCCGCCCGCCGTCCGCGTAGCACGCACCAATCTGTACTCAACAGCTTCAGTCTCCAAGACAACACCCTGTAGTCAACAGCGCCCGTCTTCAAGGCAACACCCTGTTCTCAACAAGCTCCCGCTGCAAGAGAGCACCCTTAAGGAATTCATTCAAATCCCGACCCGCCCGCCCGCCCGCCCGCCACCCTCCCGCCCGCCGCCCGCCCGGCCGCTCGCCCGCCTTCCGCGTAGCACGCGCCACCCTGCACTCAACAGCCTCCGCCTCCAAGGCAACACCTAGCATTCAACAGCCCCCAGAGCTCCCGGGACTGCCCGGGCTCGCTCCCAAACACGCCACGACACGCCAAGAGGGCCCTAAAGATTGCCAAGACAGCCCCAAGCGGCCCCGGACACGCCGAATATGGCCTCAGGACGGCCAACGACGCCGCCAAAACGTTCCAAGAGCGCCTCCAGAGGCCCCTCCAAAAGGACCAGCATTTTTGCGGTCTCGCATGTTCCGCCTCCCCACGGTCCCGGACGACGTCAGAGGCCCTTCAGATCGCTCCAAGACGGCCGAAGAGGCTCCCAAGGAAAGACCAGAGACGGCCCAGGAGGATCCCCAGATAATTCAAGAGGGCCTCGAGAGCGCCCCAACAGAGCCCCAAGAGCGACCCAAGGGGGCCCGAAGAGTGCGACATTTCAAGGTCTCCAGCCTGAGAGGCTCCTAGGACGCCCCGAGAGGCCATCAGGAGGCTCCCAAGAAGCCCCGTGAGGCTA